CTAGGATGAGATGAAGTCGCATTTTGTTGTGGGTGTGGCATTAAAAAAGTAGAGACGTCATTATAGCACTGGTGGGTAATTTATGCTGTCTTGGTGCCTTGTTGCGGGTTACATCCATGCGCATTGGCTTGATAGATGTAATGTTTACTTCTGTGACTTCACAGATGTTCCGCTGGCATACAGCTGTCATCGCAGCCACCTGCAACATCTGGACCAGCTTTGACCCTGTGTTGGACTTTTTGCCCTCTACAGCTCCACCGACACTGTCCATGTTAGTTGGAGTGTCTCATGCACACGAACTCATTAATTAAGCTTGATTGATAGGTTCGCCTTGTCGCCAACTCGGTACGGTAGGGTGGAGTAAGTAAGCGACTACTCCGTCCTTTGAAAGGGTTAAAACTGAAAGTAAGACGTGGGCTCCTAATCCAGCATCATGCCGGTGTGAAAGTAGCTCTTTCAGTATGACCTCTCAATCCATGTCTCCAGTGTGACTATGGCTTTACTTCGTTACTTCTTGACGCAAGCTCATAGGGGACTTAGACTCAGGGCTCACCCTAGCGCTGGAGGGAAGGGAGGCGGGGGAGGGAAATTCTCTGAAATCTGTCGCCCTAATGTACAGCAACGTGATAATTGAAACGTGGTGTCAAGAACGATGTACGCTCAAAAAATCATTTCCAGTGGTAACGGATGCAGCTCAATGAATTGTACGAAATACCTACCAAAGATCTGTACCCTGCTTTCCTCCGGCATGACCCCTGTCACCTATGCCTCACCGAACTTTCTCGAAATTTCTTGCAGTCGATCCGAGTTGAGAGAGGTGGGCAGACACTGATCAACATTCACCGGAGGCTTTGCTGCGTCCGTAATCTGGGGCAAAATAGCGACTGCGAGCGGACAGCTCGACAACTGAAAAATTCCCCTGGCAAGATACATCCCTCAGCGATCCCATCTAGCGAGCAATATGACCGACCCACATGGTTTCCGCTTAGCGTGTCCACTTTGATGAGGTCTAGTGAGAAAGTGTGAAAGAAAGATGCATGTCCAGGGAATGAAAATCTTGCCCTGGTCAGAATCCCCTGTGGAGATAATCACTTTCTCATCGAAACTTAACCCGAAATAAGATCACTTAAACAGGGAAAAGAAGAAACAAAACAAGAACACACTATCGCGTTGAAATGTCTCGAGAAAGTCATATGTAACGGGAGAAGCCATGGAGGAAAGAATGCTTCTAACTCTCATCAGCATTTCTTAAATCCAATCCTGCTCTGTCACTTCTTTTCTTCTTTTTTTATGATTTTCTCCTCTTAGGAAGAACATTAGATTTGCCAAATGTTTTACTACAAAAAGGGGTAGTTGCCAGCACTTATCATGTGAATGGTCCAAGGCCAGATACGCGAGGCGTCTAATCCCGAATTACCAAAATTCCAATCATTCTTATGGTTCACTGACATGCCTTCAAATGAACTGAATGCATTCATACGCTTCCAGCGATTCCCAGTGAAGGTCAAATGCATGGCACATCACAAAACAAGATAAATGAACAACACTACATTTCATTTTATCCTTCATGTGTTGCAGGGAGCACAAGATAGCTCTGAACTCACTCACTCCTCGATTCGTCCGCACTTCGTCTCCTTTCCACCCACCTCTGCTGAATATTCTCCAACTCATTTTCCCCAGGTAAAATCTAATGCAAATCTATTGAAATCTGGAGGACTCAGGTTTTCTTATTATATAAGACGTAACCTCCTTTTACTCTGTGAACTCATCTTCGCAGCTTGCTTCTCCATTGGCCCTGAGATTCTTGCAGCCTCCCCAAAGCGGTCCCAAAGGAAAGGAGGGGGGGGGGGGTGAGGTCTATAGCTGTTACTGTTTTTGGCATATAAGTTAACCATGCGTAGCTTGCCAGGCTTTAATGTGGCATCCTCCTCATAGCTGTTCATCTTTGCAAAGCTAATCAGAAGGCTGATCTATTGCAGTCAGCAAAAATAAACATTCCTATCGGAGGCGGACGCAATGTTCCGCCGCCCTCTCGCCTTTGTATATAATGGGCCTCTTGAAAGGTCAACCGACAGTTTCTCCCTATGCCTTCTCTATTCAAGACGCTCATACAGCCTTGTTGGCGGGGGATGCGTTTCAGCGCGGCTGCGGTTGGCAGCGCGCCATCCCGCTTTTTTTTCTTTCGGGAAGCGACAGGACTATATATCGTTCGCATCAGTCGGCTTCCACCAGTTGCTGTCAGTTACCCTCTCAAGCAACTAGTCGGAGAACGGGCTGGCGGTCCACCAAACCCAACCGCACTGATTTCCCCCTCCCCTCCCCCCCCCCCATCATCACATGACCGTAGTCCAGGTTCCTGAGATAGCCACGCGGTAGGCGTGGCCACGTACTTTCTTCGAATCGGCGGCGTCTGCTCTTTTAGTGGGATATTTTCGTTTCAGCATGCTTGTAATCATGTCTTCATAAAGCCAAAACAGGATAGCACTTGTCTTAAATTTGAACAATACACAAACGACCATCATACGCCGTATTCATGTGTAGTACGCAGCCACGCCTACCGCGTCTTGTGGATATGGAGAAATACATAATGGCTGCTGGTGACCAGATGTTGGCCGGGAGACCCGCGTTGCGATAATGAGCTCGAACGACAGGGCCAGTAACTCAAGTTGGTTGACACGGCATACTATTAGGTCATCCCATTCAAAGTGGCCGACACATATAGAGGAATGGCAGAAAAGCAAAGGGGATAGAGCAGCGGGCTACTATACCATTTGGAAGCTAGTACCTTAAGCTGTGTATCTGTGAAATTTGGCGAACCTAGCCTCTGAAGAAGTTCTCGAGAAATTGAAGAGAAGCCCGAGTGGTGAAAATCGGCGCCGGTTTTTCAAATCAGACGTCATAAAAGGAAAGTGCGCTGCTCAAATTTGACCTGCGCCGGACCATAGTTGTGTGTAAGGGTGTTCTCGAAATACACGGTGGAAGATCTGGTTCAGGAGCCCGTACAAGGAAGAAAGGAAAAAATTTGTTGTCGTGGGTGGTCCCATAATATTCATCCTGCACAAGAAAAACGGGTGGATGAAGTCAGGCACTGAATATCTGATCACAGAGCCTGGACCCTTGTCGAGCTTCCCCGCGAGTCTGACATCCCAGCTGCAACTGCTGCCCGAGTTATGTCCGATAAACTGAGGATGGTCAAGAGGGTGGCGCATGGGTACCTAATTTTCTTATAGAAGCACGAACGCAGTACCGATTCTATACCTCTAGCAGTAATGTTCTCAGCATGAGATGTCACTCACAACTGTGAAAACGCACCCCGGCCCTAGATGAAATATGGGTGGTCTCGGACCTCGAGTCGAAACTCACAATCGTCAATTTTCTATGAATGCAGATGAGAAGCCGCCCGAGTTCTACCATGAAGAGTTACGTGGGCGCAAGTGGATGATCATCATAGCAAAGGATTCCCACACTGTGGCTTTCAAGCGGCTCTATACAGAGAACAAATCCGTCACTGTCGGTGCATATTGCCTGTTCCTCGGCATTCAGATCGACAAATGGATGGTACCACACAACTACAAGAAGGCCACCGTTGCTCGTCATAGTGCCAGACCCCGAGTAACTGTATTGTAGATCAGTGCTGGGACACAAACAATACTGAGACCTGAGTTCAATCGCCCATTCGCCCGTCATAAAGCCATGCGATTACAACTGTTCTATTCAGTTGAGAGTACTCTCCGACGGCAGACGCTACAATGTTTTGTCATTTGCCGAAATTGGCAACAACAGCAATTTACTCACACTTGTTGAAAAATCGAAGGTACCAGAGGTCCAAAGGCCCTCGGGGCACTGGGAGCGGGTCATTGGTGAAGGAGGGATTTACTCATCCTAAAGCTAAAATATCACTTTTCTATCTATTCTCCTCTTTGTTTTATTCAAAAAAAACCATCGGCCACTTTGAATGGGATGACCTAATATAAATAGTCAGGGCACATCACTGGTTGGGGATTTTAGCCGAGTCCGTACGCCCCCCCCCCTTTTTTTCGGAGGTTGGTACGACCCTCCCCCACTCCGGCCCTCTATCTCTCCTCATCGACCTCATCGAATCGAGCCGTCGAGCGGCGGAGGGAGGGGGAGGGGGTAAATAGCACATGTGAAACATCAAAAGCCGCGAGATAATACGACTCCCCAACTTCCTGCCACTCTTTCCAAATTTTCCCGAAAATCTCCCTACTTTTTCCCAAAAATTTTGCTGTCGAGCGGAGGGGGAGGGGGGATATAGTACGCATGAAACAGGAAAATCACAAAAAGTCAACCACCTCCTGAAACCTAAATACGACCCCCCCTCCCAACAATGAGCAAGTACGACCCCCTCCCTTTACAACGTCCGTGAAGCGAGAAAAATCAACTATCAAAATAAATTTTTCTCAGCCCAAATACGACCCCCCTCTCCTGGCGGCCAAATACGACCCCCTATTGGGGATTCCCCAACAACGATGTGCCCTGATCATAGTTCCACTGGGTGGGGAGGGGCTTAGCGCGGCGCCAGCTTGTTCTCCACCAGTTGCTGAAGCGGGTAGGCTGCAAGTTCACATCTAATTATGTTACGTTTTTGTGCTTGATACATATTTGTTTTATCTATATTTATCTATTATTTCGTGATTCTTAGGGACTAAAAGTGCAGGCGAGTCGACTCGTGAACCTCAGGACCCGCGTGGCAACAACATACGGCTTTTGTAACTAAACGAATGTAAGCTTCTTATGATTTTCATTCAATTATTTCAAGTCGCTGATGTAGAGTCAAGGCCAGAGATGGTGCAGTGGCAAGTGGCGCCGCTACTGCAAGCATCAAACTCTGGATCAAACTTCACCATCTGGATCAACGATGCTTTCCATCCCCGCAGGTGCAATATCGCCCTGGCGACCAATGCGTGGCGCATTCCAGAAAGGGATTGATCAACGGTGAGCGCTTTTTTTGTTCGTAGATACAGAAGATCGGTTGGTTAATGATACTAATAAGGTATAGGGTAAAGAAGCTAGCGTTGATCATACCGCTGAGGATGTGCCATGCATTCGGCTTTAGCTCGAGCTGCTGGAAGCGGTTGAATGCTCATGTACAATGACATACGCTGCTTACCACCTGCCTACATATGACTGGAGTAATGTTCCGCAGCCATCTAATGGGCGAGAACTGCTAATATTCCTTTCTGCTCCTTCCTCATGGCTGCAGCCGTAGCTCTACTATGGTGGAGTAAAGGCGCTCCAAGGAAAAGAGCACGAAAATGTGAGGCTCCGCCCACTCGATCACCGCAGAATCGTATTTATTTCGGCTTCTAATTCCTCCGCTTAGGATCAAGCAACCCGTAACGAGTCACAGCGTGGCCTAAATCTGCCTGAAAAAACGGCCAGGCTCTCTGCTAAGACCGACTTAGCAGAGGAAGGAATTACTATCACAGGCAACCAGAAGGGAAACTGCCCTGTCCAGGCGTCCTTCTCCAACTGCCCTAGCTCTCCGCCTGGCACGAAATTGCTTGGAGTCTGCGTGGCATGCGCTGGGCTCAGAACATTACGTACTGTCGGGGCGGTCAGTGCGGCTGCGTTTGGCGCGGGCCAAAGTCGTTCTGCACCAGTTGTTGAAGCGGGCAAGTGACATTACTGTATTATATCCTCCGTATTACTCGTTTTCTACCACTTTTT